GGCGGGAGCTAGGAGAAGCCTTCCTGGAGCTGATGTTAAAGGTAATATGAGTCTTGTCTCTTCAATTTTAAACTCCCTAGCAATTACTCATGAATTGAACCTTCTTTCATGAAGCCAGCACTGGTCGAGTGGCAGAAGTGGCACCAAACATGGGGCATGAGTAAAATGACTAGGTTGAGTTAGAGAGAGGGCTATAGAAATATGGAATTTGTGACATTTTTAGGGTCATGGAAGTACCAGGCAGTTTTTGGAGTGAAGGGATGTTAAAAATTTTTAATAATGGGAATTCAACTTCTACTGATAAAGACATGTATTTTACTATTTTAGAGACAAAAATGAATCAGAAGGGAAAGTAAGTTAAAAATATTCAGTTGCTACAATACTTAAAGGTTGTGGGTAAATTTTTCCCTTGATTTTGTGACCAAGATTCACCAAATTTACATACATGGGACAAATTAGGAAAGAAATTACATAAAATTTGCCTTTCTAATGAATTACCTGGAAACTTTGAGAATATACAAAATGTTTGGACTGTGTTAGAGATTTGTTTTTTTGATTACATGAGCCATAGTCCTTGGTCCCCTGAAGATCTATTGAAAGGTATTCAGAGGGCCATTAAGTCTATTCAAATGGAAAAATTGCCTGAGGCTAAGGAAATCTCCTTTCCTCTAAGCTGGCTAATAACTAAGCCAAATTATATTCAAACAAAAAACCTCTGATCAAAACTGAAAGTAAAAAACTTAGCCTTGCCTGAGCCAAACCACAGTAGTCTGGAGAAAGACCATAGAGAGGTAGATCATAGAGAGGATGCCTCTGGGGGGATAGAAAGTCCTTCTCCTGGAGAAGAATACCTGGAAGAGATTCATAGAGAGATAGAAAGTCTTTCTCTTTTAAGTGGCTTACAAGTTCAATTCAAGATGGCAACAGGGGAAAATCTATGGAGGAATTGCAATCTGAGGGAGAGGAATTGGACAATAAAATGCAGAATTTACCAGGGAATTTCAACAGGCTGTGCTTAACAGCACCTGCCCTGGCCATTCGAATTCAGCCATTGTCTGTTAAAAGAACAAATTTTAACAGATACTCTGACCTAGCAATGACTTTTCTTACTCCATTCTAGCGGGGGATTAGGAAGGCACAAGAAATTGGGGAAGATAATAATGAATTTCAGCCCTTCCCAGGTTTTGAACAGGTTAATGATCAAGATCATCATGTTCACATCCACGTGGTAATTCCTTTTAAAACTATTAAAGAGTTAAAAATGCCTTTGAGATCTATGGTCCAAATTCACCATTCGTGCAGGTTGCTTGTGAGAGACTATTTACTTTAAACCACTCCCACCAAGTGACTGGATTTGCATCACCAGGGCTTGCTTGAGTGGGGGGGATTTTCTACTTTGGAGGTCATACTGGACAGATTTTTGTTCCATGCAAGCAGAGAGAAATCGTAGGCAAGGTTGCCAAACACCTGTGGAGATATTTTTAGGAACGGGTGAATTTATTGATTTGGAAAGGCAGCTAAATTATGAATTTGAAGTGTATGATCAGATTACAGCCTGTGCAAAGCATGCCTGGAGACAAATTGCCTCTGGGGACCAATTTAGATTAGTTCTGACTAAAGTTAAACAAGGTGCCAATGAGCTTTATTTTGATTTCGTAGTGCGACTCTACCAAACTACAAACTGTTCCATTGGTGATCTGGGTGGTTGTAAGTTTATTGTTAAGCAATTGGAATTTGAAAATGCAAATAAATATTGTCAGGATGTTCTCAGACTCCATAAAAAAAGGGCACAGTTTCAGAATTTGTTCACTTATATTCTGATATTGATTCAGCCCATTTACAAACAATTATGCTCACTGCTGCTTTAAAAAAAACTCTGCAGCCCCAAGAATTAGTACACAGACCCCACAGGAGATGCTTTCATTGTGGGAGGAGCAGCCATTACTCGCGAAATTGTAATGCTCCTAATTTTAAGCTCAGGGCTCCCTCTGCTGTTGGTGGTAGTATTACAGGGTTGAAGACCACGTGGAGGACCAAGATGGCGCTGATTAGCCCACCTTGTTGCCCTCACTTCCTCCTGGTAAGAAGACGAAAAACTTCTGGTCCATCCCCAGGCTGAAAAAACAGGGGAACCAGAAGGAAAGTCACGCAATTTAACGTCATCACTGCCAACCATGGGGAGCCGCCATTTTTATGGAAGTGAATCTCACAGTTTCTTTACCACCCTCAATGACAATTGCATTAAATCCTGAATTAGTGCCACAACAAATCCCTACTGGGATTTTTGGGCCACTCCCTAAAGAAAGTATAGGGTTAATTTTGGGACATAATGATTTAAAAAGGGCCATTGAGGTGATACCTTGAGTAGTAGATTCTTGTTTTGAAGGAGAATTAAATGTTACTCTAAAATCAAATCACGTCATTTGGCTTACTCCAAAAAATACATTTGCTCAATTAATTTTATTACCCTGTAATTCGGATGGACACTCACACTTACATTCAGTTTCCAAACCGCCAGATTGAGTGTACTGGTCTCAATTAGTGTGACAGGAGCTCCCCTTACTGGAAATTAAAATTAATCATTAAAAGTTCAAAGGTGTAGTGTACACAGGGGCCAACATATCAGTCCTGTCTAGTCACTTCTGGCCTAAGAATTGACCGTTACATATAGCATCAACTAACCTAGAAGAAATTGGACAAATCTCACAGCCTGCTCAAAGTGCAAATTATCTCTGTTGGGAGGATCCTGATGGGAACAGTGAAGTTTTTATACCTTATGTGTTAGAGTCCTTACCAGTAAACCTATGGGAAAGAGATATATTAAGCAAAATAGGATTATTATTAGTAACTTCAAATTCTATGAGATCATTTGAGGAAATTAATCAATGGCTTCTTCCTGGAAATAATGAGGGAACTTATCAGAAAGTGTATCTACTTACAAACCAGTCTACTTGACAGAGATTATTAAATACTCCAAACCAAAATTTTTACTAGGGGCCCTGAGTGTCTTCCTGATCCAATAGTCAGCAGAAAAGATCACCTGGCTCACAGAAGAGCCTATATGGATTTCTCAGTTGCCCATCTCAGGGGAAAAACTTAAGATAATTCATATGTTAGCTGAGGAACAACTTCAGGCTGGTCATATAGAATCAATGCTTAGTCCTTGAAACACCCCCATTTTTGTTATTAAGAAAAAGTCAGGTAATTGGAGTTTACTACAGGATTTAAGGGCAATGAATGATGCAATTCAGCCAATGGGATCATTGCAGCCTGGACTTCCTTCCCCCACAGCAATTCCCTTAAATTATAACTTAATGGTAATAGATCTAAAAAAATTGTGTTTTCTCAATAAGGTTGCATCCTGAGGATTGTAAAAAAAATGCTTTCAGTGTCCCACGAACTAATTTTAAAGAACCTGTCAAAAGTATTGCTGGAAGGTCTTGCCTCAAAGGATGCATAATAGTCCTAATTTATGTCAAAAATTTGAGGGTCAATCGATAGCTCCTACAAGAGATAAAGTTCCTGATGCATATATTATTCATTTTATGGATGATATATTATTGGCTCATGCTAATCCAGAAGTACTTTCAAAAATTTTTACTCAGAGGCTTCACTTACAGCAATGGGTTTGTGCATTTCTCCTCAAAAGATACAAAATATTCCTCCCTTTCAATATTTAGGTCAGATAATTCAAGGACATACAATATGTCCTCAAAATCTACAGATAAAAGTTAAGGAATTACATACCCTTAATGACTTTCAAAAATTATTAGGAGATATTAATTGGCTGAGGCCATCCTTAAAACTAACTGCTTCTGATTTAAGTCCTTTATTTCAGATATCGAAAGGAGATCCTTCTC